CTGAAATGTCTATTTCAGGCATGGCCAAATCAAGGCTTAAAATAGCTGGACACTGAACATTTCCCCTGGGGAGAAGGTTCCTTTCTATAGTTTCAAGTAGAGCAGTGGAGCAGAGTTTTATTGAGCCAGCCAGGCCAAGTGTCCATTTCTGACCCAATCGCCTAGATTGGCTGCCTGGCCATGCGCTGACCTCCAGCACCTGGGAGGAGGATTCTCATCAGGCCAAATGATTTGAGAAAACACAGTAGCACCCCTAAAAGAAATCAGGATTGTTAGGTTCAACAATCTTTGGAGCCAATTAAAAAAATTTTTTTGAGACAGGTTTTGTATTCACACTGGCCTTGAACTCACTACATAGCACAGCCTTGCATCAAACTTGCAGCTACCTCCCTGCCTCAGCTTCCCTCCAGAGCACTGAGATCACAGACTTGCACTGCCATACCCAGATCTTGGGAGCCACTTCTAAGTATGGGTGAACTAACTTGCTTTGTTTTGGCTGAATTCTCTGACTTGCCCACTTTCTGGGGTCCTACATGTCTGAGAGAGGCATTGCTTCATTCAGAATACCAAGCCATGGAGAGCGATGCTATGGAACTTGTCTAGTGATCTACAGCTTTCTACTTCCTGTTTAAGGGAAGGTTCAGCAAACAGTGTCCAAAGCCTCACACCTGAGTCAATCTAACAGTCCAAAATTAGTCCAGAGTCTGACTGGGGAAGGGCCCTAAAGCTGGTGGGCACGGACTGCCAGGGAGCCTGCATGCTGGCTGGTATCTTCTGGGTCAGCTGGAGCTATGGTGATCTCCTGAGAAAAGATGAAAAAGAGATGCAAGGTTGTTGTTTGTGGCTTATCATCCATGGGGAAAACTACAATTCCAGAGCAGCTCCTTCATGGAGATCATACAACTGGAATGGAAGATGGTGAGACAGTGGAAGGCGTGTGTGTGGCTTCTGTGGAAATGAATCAAGGAGCAGAGGAACAGTTCCGTCTTTCTGACACCAGAGGTCTACAAGAAAGCATTGAGCTGCCAAAGCATTATTTTCCATTTGCTGATGGCTTTGTTTCTGTGTACAGTGTGGATGAACCTTGAATCCTTTCAAACAGTGGAGCTTCTGAGGAAAGAAATTGATAAATTCAAAGACAAAAAACGAGGTTGTAATTGTTGTGTTGGGAAACAAAATGGACCTTTCTGAGCAGGGACAGGTGGATGCTGTAGTGGCCAGCAGTGGGCAGAAAGCAAGAAGGGGAGACTATGGGAGGAAACTGTTATAGACCAGAAAACTATTTTTCATTAGCCATAAACTTTCCCAACCCTGGAGCAAATCCAGCTTTCCTTTGTCTCGGAGGAAAAACAAAGGGGACTCTAGCTCTGAGAACTTAAAATCAGCAATTTCACAATTGTTTGTTTGAATCATGATTGCCAATGAGTGTGAATACTGAGTAACCTTAACATTTAAAGTAGGCCATTTCGGGCTGGGGATTTAGCTCAGTGGTTCCGGCGCCTGCCTGGCAAATGCAAGGACCTGAGTTCGACCCCTGGTACCAATAAATAAATAAATAAATAAAGCAGGCCATTTGTTTCAACCTTTGGCCTCTAGGAAAATCCTGAGTAATTCAATGCACTCTCAGTTATAATTAAATTGTTAAATTATTGAGCTGTTTATTACTGCCTGATATATCATTCTCTTTTGAAGCCTGTCCCTAAAATCAGTACCTGTTATTTGCGTTGTACTTGCCAAAACAGTAAAATAAAGTTTGAATACTATGTTTAAAAAAAGGACACCAAATCCCAAACAAACAAACAAACAAACAACAAACTAAGTGGTCTGAAGTCAATCAAGCGAGTCCAGGTAGAGAGGTGGAGTCAAGAGCCCAAGTCAAAGGGAGCAGAACCAACACGAGTTGACAAGGTGTTCCCGAGAGTGTAGAGGGCCATGGATGCTTAAGTTTTTGAGCCCAAGCTGGGAGAGCTGAAATCACTTGCAAAGTAATTTGTCCCAAATGCTGTGGCCACAGCCCAGCTAGCTGCATACTCCACGTATCGTGCCTGTACTCCATGATCAGAGAGACTTCACAGTTCATGGTTTTTGCACTTCAGTATCACAGACGAGTGGTCTAAGAAGCCCAAAGATGCGCCACCAAACTCCCTCTTCAAGGGAAGGCTCCCTGCTGAGTTGTGGGGGTTGGTGCCCTCCGGTCCATTGTGGATCCACTGTAGCAGACCGGTTTGCTCCAGAGCTCCCTCCCAGGCCAGGCACCTTGGACACTTGCTTTGCAGTTCATATTTTCCCTCTGACCCATTCTGCTTCTTCTTTTTCTTCTTCCTGCTTCCTTTCACAGCTACTGATCTCTAGTAAGTGCCTTGTACCTCAAACTTTGTTTTGCATCTGCTTCCAGAAAACCCGACCTGCACTAAGTATCATTAGCACATATGATAACTGAACCATTAAAAGTAAATAGAAGCATTAAGTCTGCAAACTATTGTTCAATCTGTGAAAAAAAAATGTCTTTCCAGGTCTTTTTTCTTTCTAAGAGAAATGCAGATCCCCCCCTCCCGATTCATTTCTTATTAACAACTCTGGAGACTCAAAGTGGAAAGTTTCTAATTTACCAAATTTTGAGAGCCGTATAAATTCACAAGAAGTTGTTCTGAGAAAAAGATATAATTTAATCAAGTATCTGGGTAGTAAAGAATCATTGTTTCAATCATATTTTAAATTTTAAAGTATTTAAATGTTTGTTAGCATATATTCGCAGTACATAACAAATACGTTCATCATGAGGAATTGGTACACAAATGTGTCGCATCTCGATCCCATTTACTTTCCTTTCTCCACCTCTCCTTCCTCTCTCCCACCCCCATACCCCCACTCCTGTGTCTCAAAAGTCTGTCTCCCTGTTTCCTATCATCTATTTTTTATTTTGCTCTTTTAATTATTTATACTTTGGGTTTCTCATATAAGAGAAACCTTGTGATATTTAACCTTCTGTTTCTTTTTTTTGTACTGGAGATTGAACTCAAGACCTTGCACTTACAAGGCAGGCGGCAGAACCATTGAGCTAAATCCTGGGCCTAACTTTCTGTTTCTGACTTATTTCACTTAGCATTATGGACTCAAGGTACATCTATTTTCCCACAAATGACCTAAGTCTATCCTTCTTTATGGCTAAGTAATATATGTGTGTGTGCATATGTGTTTTATCATATATAAAATGTATATCATTTTCATTATCCTTCATCTGTTGATGGACATATTGGCCACTCCCAAGAGATTGACTGTTGTGAATCTGCTACTACAAACAAAGATATGCATGTATCGCTGTGATATTATGTCTTTAACTCTTTTGGAAAGATATCCAGGAAAACCAGAACTCTGTCAAGTGGAATTTCTACTTTTAGTTTTTTGAGAAATCTCCATACTGATTTCCATAGAAACATACTAGTTTACATTCCCACCAACAACGTTTCCCCACAACCTCACCAGCATTTGTTGTTTTTTGAGTTAGTGATGATGGCCGTTCTTTCTCGAATAAGATGGAATATGAGTATTGTTTTGATTTGCATTTCTGCCATGTCCAAAGATGCTGAGCACTTTGTCATGTACCTGTGGACCATTTGTACTTCTTTTGAGAAGTATCTATTCATTTCAATTACCCATCCTTTGACTGGGTCTTTTATTTTGGGGCGGGTATAATTTTTTTTAGTTCTTTGTATATTCTAGATAGTAGTCCTCTGCCTGAGGAGTAGTTGACAAATTGTATTTCATTCTGTAGGTTGTCTCTTCACTCTGTTGTTTGTTTCCTTTGCTGTGCAGAAGCTTTTAAATTTGATACAATCCCATTATTGATTGCTGGTGTTACTGCTTGTGCAATTGGGATTCTGTTCAGTAAATCCTTGCCTATGCCTATGTCTTCAGTAGTTTTACCTATTTTATCTTCCAACAGCTTCAGTGTTTCTGTTTTTTTTTTTTTATCTAGGCCTTTGATCCATCTTGATTTGATTTTAGTACAGGGTGAGTGATATTGGTCTATATTCTAAACCAAAACTTTAACAATTAAAATAAAGTTAAACTCAACACGATCTTCTAAAAACACAGTATTATTTTTCAATAATAAAGGGTCATGACTATTTCAAAACTTATGTACACAATCATTTAAATCTCAGCTTCATTTCACTATAGCTGTGGAAAATAGCCAATTAGTAGAGGCCAGTTAGTAGAGTTCTTTAAAGTCTCTGTTGATTTATTTTCGGTAACTGGGGTAGAATGTCATAACTCAGACCTTCAAAATTTTGATACTCATTTAGGCTAAGTAATGAATGGCATAGTTGAAAAATTGAAATAATTCATAAAAAGTAATAGAAAGAACTAGCTGCCACATCACTGTTCCTTACATACAGCCATTTGTTAATCATTCATATTCATAAGTTTCATGGGTGGTTACATAACATAACTGTAAATTATGTTCTTGACATCACTACTTCTTGACCCCTCTGCTCTGAGTATTAAATACTGATCTTTTTCTGTGAGAGGTAAAAGTTCAGCTTCCACATTGCTGCACTGTGTACTTTGTTTTGCTACTTGTAGCTTCTGTATATATATTTTGGTACTGGGGATCAAGCACAGATCCTTGCACTTGCAAGGCAGGCAGTGGAACCACTGAGCTAAACGCTCTGCCCATAGCTTCTGTGTAAATAGCACACTAAAAACTACTTATTCCATTGGCTTTCAAAAGTGTCTCTTGTCCATACGTCCTCTACAATGAAGACATTAGAAGTTTTCATCTTTCTTCCCTCCCCAACTCCTTGACCTTTGTTATTCTCTGACCTTTATATTTTCAGTGTTGATAAATTTGAACTATAGAGATATCTGGATGCCCATGTTTATTATGGCACAATTCACAATATGCAAGTTGTGGAATCAGTTTAGGTGCTTGTCAGTAAAAGAATGGATAAAGAAAAGCAAATATAGCACATTTTCTAATGAAATCATATTATTTGCAGGAAAATGAACGGAACTCGACACCATCATGGTAAGCAAGGGAAGGCAGACCCAGAAAGACAAGTATTGCATGTTTTACCTAATATGTAGAATCTAAAAAAGATGACAAGAAGCTAGAAGAAAGACTATTAGACCAGAGAAATGGAATCGGGGAAGAGAAACTAATAGGAGTGATGGGTATGATCAAAATATGTCATATGCATGTATAAAATGCTACAATAATTCCCAATACCATGACAAAAAGTATCAATCTCTATGATTGCTTCATTTCAGAAATATAGTGAATTCTCTCATCCACAAAGTCCCCTCTGTATAGCTTAGCTTTCTTCCCCTTTTATTCTTATATCATAATTTAAATAGTATTATTGGAAGAAGGGAGTAAAAAAAAAGAATAGGTGCTTGAGATGTAGATATCATTCCTAATAAAAATCTCTAACAAAAAAAGTGTAAGGATCTTTCCATTCTGCCCTTGATTTAAAAATGTACAAACTCATAGGAAATCCAGAAAATTCATGGCATGTTTCTCCCAAAAGAATATACAAGAACAAACTTGCATATCCTTTGAATATAAAATAATTCATATTTTGAGGCAGATTAGATCTGGATATGTGAAGAGAAGAGAGTGGTTCTTACTAAATGCCTTTTTTGTGCCTAGGACTTCACAAATATTGTCTCCTCGCGCAACTACGTTGTACATGAAGTCCCTGGGGCTCAGTGAAGTGATTCACGTAGAGTCCTACAGTTTCAAACCGGAGTCCCGACTGATTCCTACATCACGCGTGCTTCCTATGAGGAAGTGAAGCCAGCAAATGCATGAACGATACCAGCAGAGGCAAGATCTGAGCATAAAACAAAGATCTAAGTACCCAGCTAAATGCATAGGAGCCATACTGTACATGTACAATGTAGGTGACCCGAAGTTATTTGCATGGGATTAGAGGGGCTTCTCCATATCTCTCTATCTCCCCAAGATGGAACATTTCTCAGGAGATGGAAGAATTGATCTACAGGCCTCAGTGGTGAGCAGTCTGTTGCTGTCTTCTCTTAGAGTTCTACAGCGGAGAAGCTCTGCTTCCTTAGCAAACGCACTTAGGATCACATTGACATTTCATTTCAGAGCAAGCAGTCATGGATTAAAGCACCTATTATGCAAAAGTCACAGTATGTGTAGATTCGAAGGGAATGGCAGTAAACAGTCAATTCATTAATCAATTATTGCTACAATTCCAAACCAAACTGACAACTCATATTAGTTGCATGATTTTTTTAGAAAAGTGCAACAACTTTACATATACTGATCTCATGTTTTTCACATTGAAGTTTTAAAAAGCTGGTATTTTCTGTTAGTTAAATATTGATTACTATTTTTAAAACCGCCCTCATGACAATGACTGTACATATGCAAATAGGATGCAAAATGAGAGCCACGGCTGTCCAGATGGAGGCTGAGCAGAACAGATGCTGCCTTCTAGATGTGCACTCTGGAGGAAGAGGTATTCATCACAGTGAGGCTAACAATGCAGCTCGTGATGGTTATAGGTGGTTTCTAATTTACAAGATGACTGACGTACGCAGGACAGTCAAAACACATTAGACAGAAGTAACGAGCCTCGGCTTCAAGCAGGCAATTTTCAAGGGAGTGAGGAACAAGGATATGGCTTGTCTTGTTCCTTAATTACTGAGCTAATTAATCGCCAGAAGTGAAATTGTTGCCTCTAGACACCTTAATATAGGCACAGTGGAAGGAAAATACAGAGCTCAGAGCACCATTCTGACAGATTAATAAAAACATCTCACCGAGGGAAAGTTCTATCTGCTAATATTATGGTCCTCAATATGTCTTTTTCCATTAAGCTAAGAAATCTTTTAAGATACTTTCACTTTTTGTACTTCATAGAAAGATTGGTATTTTTGCTTAGAATAGTCAAAGCAAGGGAGAAACATTCCAAGCAAAATAGACTATTTTTGTTAGTTAGCAATGAAGGGCTTCAATAAGGAATTTGAATGAAGTCTATCGAACTTCAGTCGATTTTTAAAGGCAAATTAGGCATTATTTGACCAAAATTTGTGCTCCACACTCAAATATTAAGACCACATTTATCTCTCACTTTTCTCTGAGTTACATCTGTGGTGCACTTGAAATGTTAGCAAGGTCTGCAAAAGAATCAGAATGTTGGGGAAGGCATTAGTCTCACCCAAGCCAGGTGATAGTGGCAAATGACAGCATTTTCATGAGAGAGAAACCTCACTCCATGTAAGGTAGCACGATGATGTGGAATTCTGTACCTGTGTGAAATCCCTTGGAGTTGAGATCCTAGTAGAGCTGAATAAAGATGGAGGAAGAGAGGAGGATGAGGGAGAAAAGAAGGCGGAGGAGGAACAGGAGGAGGAGAGGAGGAAAATTGTGATTTAGTAGAAACTGTAAATGGCCTCTGTACTGATGTTGGAGTCCAACTCACTCGAGAAATGCACCATGGAATTCTGGATAATGTAATGCAATTTCAGACCAGTATTCATACACAGGGAAATGGAGAATTGGGGCCATTATGTAGATAATGAAAACTAGAAAGATTTAAAAGACTAGCAAGATAATCTTAAGACTGAGATGGGTAAAGGGACTACGTGGAGATATGGGAATGCATAAAAGGACAACTACGGTGGTGGCATACAATAAGAACATGGGAGTCACATTTTATAGTAAAACAGAAATGAATGTTCAGAGAAAGAGTATTTTATTTGTGCTAATTAGCAGAGTGCTATACTCAAGAACATCAGAATGTACAGTAATCACAAACAGACCTAGGGAAACTTCACATTAAAATTACAAATTAGATTTTACTTTTCAAATTACATGCATTTATGTATATTTTTTAATAATGGGTAAAATATCTTAAATGACATGGCAATTAGAATTGGAATTCAGAAATACTATTTTCAAGCTTCAAATCAGGAACAATTCCACAGGTTGCTTTCACTGTGAATAAAGGCCATCATTTCAACTCTGTCCTGTTAACACGGTAACTTCTAACTACACTGGGTTGATAGGAACAGCAGCTTTAAGAATGCAAAGTTCTGAATCAAGTGCAAGCATTTAAAACTCTGATGGGCTCAAAAGAAACTCTCTATGTAGTTCAGGCTGTCTTTGAACTCACTGTGTAGCCCAGGCTGGCCTCGAACTTGCAACAATTCTGCCTCAGCTTCCCAAGTGCTGGGATTACAGGCGTGCACCACCACACTGGGTGTCAGAAGAAACTTTAAAGCCAACAAATATCATCTCTTATTTTGCTAACTCTACCATATTTTCAAATTAATTGTTAACTTATCACAATGTTAATCAGTTGCTAAAGCACTAGCAAATTATATTAACCAGAATGGTATACCATAAGGATTAAAAGTCCTGTTTCACCAAAGAGTACAAAGTAGGCTACATAGGACCATGGCTAAGTGTGCGAATTGTGAGATTCCATAGGAACCCTACTTCACTGCAAGATTATGAAACTGATTCTAATTTTTACCCATATCTACCTGTGAACATTTTTTTGTCAAAAAAGGCTCAGAGGCTTGTTTACATTCAATAAAATCCCTGCCTTAAGAACAATAATGCTGAATTCCTTTATTTATCAATTGATTCATGCAACCACTAATTCATGCACTCAGCAATCACATTTCCTCTGTCTGGGATTTAAACTCAGGAAGCCAGGGGAAAATGCTTGCTTGTAGGAGGAATTTGAGATCATCAATGTCATTTAGATCAAGGCCAAGATGGGTAAACTGGGGCAAGTGGCAGATAAAGAATCTGAAGCTGAGGAAGGATAAGAGTGAGGCGAAGACAGCGAGATGCAGAAAGGCACAGGCAGACACAGATGGCCAGACCCAGAGATAGGATGAGGCTTTGATTTAGGACAGTTTCTGATCCTGCACCCATGCACCACAATTACCCTTGGGTTCTGAAAGGTTTCCCTATTGCCCTAAATTACTGCCATATCTCTCCACATTTTAACTACACCAGGCGTGTGTGTGTGTGTGTGTGTGTGTGTGTGTGTGTGTATGTGTTGCTGAGGATAGAACCCCAGGAGCACTGTACCACTGAGCTACATCCTCAGCCCTTTAAAATTTTACTTTGAGACAGGTGCTCACCAAGTTGCCCAATCTGGCCTCAAACCTGTGATCCTCCATTGAGTAGCTGGGATCACAGTAATGATCTCCATGCCATCCTAGTTTTTCTGGGCTTTTATGTTTTACAATAAAAAGTCTAATACATAGCAGAAAAAAAATTCCCTTTGTTCTCAGTAACTGGGTTTTCTGTTTAATCAAAGTGGTATCTATTTCCTGGAGGTTGGTGGGAATTAAGACATTCTATTAATACCAGTGTTTTTTTTTTAAATTCCAGTGAATCTGAAGGATCAGAAAAAGGGAGGAACAATTTGGGGAGCAGTCCTGGTAGGGAGCTTGATCCTTAATAATATCAGTTCACCTGTGTCCTTACTTGCTGACTTTGCTTTTGGTAAATGGCCATGATGAAGACAGCACCACACTCTACATTCACCTAGAAATAGAAGGGATGGAGAAGAAGTGGGAATGTTTTCTTTGACTTTTCCTTACTTCTATGAATAACATGATCATTTAAAAGGGATGATGCCCATTCAGTTTGGGGAATGAAGAAACCGCAAGTGATGGTTCATTCTGCAAGACTGCATGAGACAATATGGTATGGTAGCCCTTCACAGCCAAGATTCTGCAGCCATGGGTTTGATCAACCTCAGATGAAAAAAAATTTTTTTTTTTGTACTGAGAATCGAACTCAGGTTCTTGTGCTTGGGAGGCAGGTGGCTGAACTGCTGAGCTAAATACCTGGCCCTCAGATGAAAAGATGTTTTTAAAATCACATCTATACTGAATAGGATGTATAGGAAAGGGAAAAAAATGAGAACTAAGATACATCATGTAAAGGTCCAAATTCCCAATGATGAATGTCATCATCATATTGTATATCTAAAATGTACCAGTAAACTTAATGAATTAAAAAAATTTAAAAAGAATATATCATGTAATATTAATTGCATTATAATAGATAGCACTTTATCTCAAAATAACTAGTGTTTAGCAGCATTAGCATTTATTACTAGCAATACTAGTGGTTAGTAATCCTTTATCACATAGTAATTACTGTTATTTAGCTTAAATCATATTATTTATAATATATAAAAGCATTGTTTTTATGTGTTGTATACATCACATGATGTATTTACTATATTTAGTACTGTATTTATCCTTAAATAACATTCCCAAATAAAGTCCTAATGTAAATAAAACTCTAATCATTTATAATAATATAGTTCTACATGGTAATAAAAATTTAGAATATTTGGAAAATTAACACCACATACACTACTCCCAAGGACATCTTCATGTGGGCAGTTTAGTCTTTCCTTTTGATCTTTTTTTCTACCCAAAAATCATATGATTGGGGCTGGGGATTTAGCTCAGTGTTTCCACCACCTGGCTCACAAGTGCAAGATCCAGAGTTAGATCCCCAGTACAAAAAAAAAAAAAAAAAAAAAAAAAAAATAATATTTTTTTTTTTTTCTGCTTTTG